TAAACCCAAACCTTGTGGAGTGCAGCCTGGCCAGCAGATGAGGGCTGCTGAGCTAAGGGCTCAGATTTTTGTCCCATCTCTGCTGCTTCCTGATCTAGCCCAGTTCCAGTTTTTCAGTACTTGCTCACCTCCCTAGTCCTTGAAAAGAATGGAGCTGGGAAAATTGGGAGTGACTAAACCTGCCCCTCCCAGCCCCTGCAGGCAGAGCAGCAGGCTCCCGGCTCTGTTCTCAGTTGCAGGGAGGAACTGGCTCCCTTCTCTGGGTGCTTGCTGGAGCATCCCATGCTCTTCAGTAGGTTTTCCCATTTTTTGTGCCAAGTGAGGCCTTTCTCCTGCAGGACCCCCCTCTGTGACGTTCACAGTGTCAGCAGTTGGCACCAAGATCCCTGTGCTGGGAGCAGGAATTCCAGGAGCTACACCTGGCAGATGTTATAATGAACTCCTGGCTGGTCAAGTAGAGTTTCCTCAATCATTTCAATCACATGATCTTTGGGATGCAGACGTGAGGCCTCTGCAGAGGGAAGCTTCTCTGTGTGGCTCACTGGATCTTGCTGCAAGAAAAGGAAAAATACAGTTTTACTTTCCTGAGGGAGCAGGTGTGTGTGTCTGCACAGAGTGGCTGCATCTCCTGCCTCGCCCTGCTCTCCAGAGGAGCTGTACCTACCCGGGGGGGCTTTGGGGCAAAGTCTTTCTGGCAGACGTGTGCGATGATGCCAGCAGCCAGAGCATCACCCAGGACGTTGGTCATGGTTCGAAATCGATCCCTGGGGGGGAGAGAGCCGTGAGGATGCAGTTGGTGGCCACACTCAACACTCCTGGGGTCTTCTAGGGCTTTAGAACACATCAGCCTCCATCCCTCATGTCTGTACTGCTGGGTTTGGTAAGGGCAAGGTGAGACAAGGGCAGTATTGCAGCTACAGAGCAGAAATGGGACGAGCAGTGTCTGTGTGAGCCCAGTGCCATGGGCGTGGGGCTGCCTTCGTCTCACTGCTCCTGTCTCTAGTGCATGGACCTCCCTGGGTCACTTCCCACACTGGTGCATCCTCATGAGTTTTACCCAGTGGGGTGGTGAGCTGCCTCAGGGAGCTGTGGAACTCCTGAGATGCTGCTCAGGGAGGAAATCCTGTTCATCTACCCACGGCACTTGTTTATCCCAGCACCCCTCTAATCAGTGCCAGCTTGTGATGGTGCTGAGCACCCTGTGGTGCTTAAAAGACTGAACTTGCTCTGTGCTCTGATTTGACAGATTGCACCTGAAAAGTTAAGCTTCCTTTTTTTTTGTGAAAGAAAGAGAAGCAGCCCAGGTCCTGAGTGCTGTCTCCTCTCTGACCAGGGGGGCTGTGAAGTGCAAACCAATAACCCACGTGTCACGTGCACAGAGTCAGTGTCTCCTCTGTGTTCTTCACTTTTTCACCCAGCTAATTTGCTTTGGTTTTATCTTAGTCCCTTAAAACATTTCACAAGCCACTTGGGTTTGGCTTCCATGCTGGTTTTCTGTTACTAATGCAATCATCATTTTTTGTCTCAAGATCAGTCTGGTCTTCATCGATGAAGGTGAAGATGATCTCACTGGAAGACACGTTCTTGGTGTTGGATCAGTCCTTTGAAAATGTTTTAGAAACACCAGAGGTGCTTTGGTCCTGCTGACTACGGGTTTGAGAGAGAAGCTGCTCATTAAATGCAAAATCTGTTCAAGACTTTACTTTCTGCTGGGGTTTGGTGTGTAGCCAACGTGTACTTTATCTTGCTGCTGTTCTGTTGTGACATCTCTCTCTCTTTTCTATTTTTTGGTTGTAAGAATGCCCATGTTTCAGAAATGGAAGCAGCAAACCAGATGAGCACGTGTTGTAATTAATTACTGGTGGTTTATGGTTTATTATTTGTTTCTCTGAGTTTGCTTTTTCTTTTCCTGGAGATCGTGCTTTTTTCCTAAACACTTGCATGTTTCCACCCCTTTTGTCACTCTTGTGCTGTTAGCATCTTCCTGGCCAATTTTAATTTCTCCTTGTATGAAGCCAGACACCTTCCACGCTGCCTTACCAACCTTGTTCCTCATCCAGGGATAATATTCCACCAAAACCAACACTGTGTCACCCCCCACTTCACCCTGACTCTTGTGCTGTCCCTTCTTCTTTGTCCCCAGCATGGACAGCTTGGAGAAGACCTGAGGTGTTCCAAGGGAATACATTAACTAGCAGCCTTGCAGAGTAATGCTTCATGAAGGTGAGACTATGCACCTACCTTCCTCCTTTCCTGCCTCTGGCCATGGAAAAAGTGGCATCCCTGAGCTCTCCTTAAAGTATAAATGTTTCAGAAAGATTTTGCAATGTTTTGTCTCCAACAAGGATTTACTGTAGGATCAGGAGTTTAGGTCAGAGGTCAGTAAGAGCTGGTATTTCAAAGTGGGCACCTGACGAGAGAGTGGCCCAATACCATCAGCACTTCTTCCACATGCAGTCCTCAGTGAGGCACTAGGCAGGGATGGGCTCCTCACAACAGAAACTCCTCAAGTCAAACATCCCCTTAGGAGACTGTTGCCCTATGGGCTATTTCCAGAAAAATACTGGAAAATGTAGAACCTCACACTTGGCTCCTGGCCTTGTTCTGTGCTCCCTTAACCTCTGCTTGCCTCTGAGAGCTGCGTCAGGTGTGACCCCGTGGACTGGCACTGGCACCCCCCTGTGACACAGAATCAGAACCACTGTGGGTGGAGAAGACCTCTGAGATCGTTGAGTCCAACCACTAACCCCACGCTGCCAAGTCCACCCCCAAGCCCTGTCCCCAAGCACCACATCTACACAGCTTTAAACCCCTCCAGGGGTGGGGACTCCAGCACCTCCCTGGGCAGCTGTTCCAATGCCTGAAACCCTTTCAGTGAAAAAGTTCTTCCTCATGTCCTCATTAGGATATCGAGTAATGACAGGACTGGGGGGAATGGGGCCAAGCTGGCAGTGGGCAGATTCAGGCTGGATGTGAGGAAGAAGTTCTTCCCCATGAGAGTGGTGAGACCCTGGAATGGGTTGCCCAGGGAGGGGGTTGAGGCCCCATCCCTGGGGGTCTTTAA